AATTTTCATCATTCCCATGATTGAGATGCTTTATCTGAAAGTAAGGCTTAGAAATCAATGTCATCCAAAATTTTGAAACACATTTAAATCGTAGAAATGACCGCTCAAATACTAACTAATTAATTTTGGGAAGATCAAACTTTCTGTATAAACGAATTCTTTCTGAATGACATCAGATTGAGGCCATAATCCTTTGGACGTCCTAAAGACATAAAAACGACAATTCAAACATCTGCAACAGAGTAGCACTTCTCCATCCGAAAACATATAATTTGGTATGGCTGATTGAAGATCGATACCTTGTATAGTAAACAATTCAGTCCAAGATTCGTTGACATAGTCTTTCATTACCCAAAACTTAAAAACGTCCTCTGTACTAGACACACAATGAGAATAAGCACATAGCATTCCTCCCAATTCTGAAACACCTCATCCCCACAACTTGGAGAAATTTGAGTAGAGTTGCTCTGGCAACAATATTTCTCTGTACACCTCATTTGAAATGCTAAATGACATCACATAATATTTCTTTAACGAACTAATAAGCCAATGAAATGCCCCATGGACAAATACCAAACAGTCAGTAGATGTGAGCCTAGGTTGAACGTCAATAGGATGTTTATCCATTATTCTCCAGGAACCACTTTTCAATGCGAGAATTTCACTGCATGATTTGTTATCAATCTTAAGGATGTTATAGTCATCACTAGTTGAGTCATATCCCAATCCCAAGTACAATAGTCCCTTGGAAAAATTTCCGGACGGGATAGGACTATTGATTCTCTTGTGGTGGGGTTCCATAACAAAAGTAGGAAGTCTACTTTATACTTATAAAACCCTATAAGGGCCAAACCATGGAAACAACAATATAATTTACTGTTAGAAGGACAATCAAGTTTGTGTAGTTGCTCAACCTGTTGAACTGACGATAAAGAAGAACAATGTAAGGAAAAATTCTCATTTGGAGAGTACCATTGGTTAACAAGGATTGTTTGGGAATTTTCATCATTCCCATGATTGAGATGCTTTATCTGAAAGTAAGGCTTAGAAATCAATGTCATCCAAAATTTTGAAACACATTTAAATCGTAGAAATGACCGCTCAGGTAGGCCGGTAGCCTACTGAGAATGTCCGTAGCCACATCAACATCCATCTTTTACCTCTGAAATTAAAAATTGAAGAAAGAAGTGGATACCTCTTTTGTATCCTCTTAGCAGCTTTCAATTTTTCTCTAGGGTTATTTGACTTTAGGTTTTTGTTAACCTACTGCACCACAAAAGTGAAAAAAAAAGCATAATATAAAAAGATAAAAAATAATAAATTAATATGGACGTCACACTTCATATAATGTGAACTGTGAAGTAAGTATTCTCAATTTTTTGGTGAACTATTTTTTCTTTTATTTTGTTGATTTTGATTTTTTTTTGTTTTTAAATATAAAATCAAGCAAGGAAATAACGAATCATATCAAATGTAGAAAAATATGTAGCAAATTTTTCTAAAGGTAAATCTTTTTCTCATATCGTTTAAATATTCAAAACAATTCGATATTTACAAGCAAAAGCAGACTACTAAAATGAAACACAAATGAGGATGTAACTAGATTACCTTGAAATGAAAAATAACTCCATCATACATAGGCAAATACTCCTAACTAATTAATTTTGGGAACATCAAGCTTTCTGTATAAACGAATCCTTTCAGAATGACATTAGATTGAGGCCATACTCCAACCGGTCCTTTGGATGTCTTAAATACATAAGTACAGCTATGTAAATGACCGCAACACAGTAGCACTTCTCCATCCGAAAACATATATTTTGGTATGGCTGATTGAAGATCGGTACTTTGTATACTAAACAATTCAGTCCAAGATTCGTTGACATAGTCTTTCATTACCCAAAATTTAAAAATGTTCTCCGTATTAGACGCATAATGAGAATAAGCACAGAGCATTCCTCCCAATACTGAAACACCCCTTCCAAACAACCTGGAGAAATTCGAGTACAGTTGCTCTGGCAATGGTATCTCTTTATACACCTCGTCTGAAATACTAAATGACATCACAGAATATTTCGTTAACGAACTAATAAGCCAATGAAATGCCCCATGGACAAATACCAAAGAGTCGGTAGACATAAGCATAGGGTGAACGTCAATAGGATGCTTATCAAGTAATCTCCAGGAACCACTTTTCAAGCATGGGGTGAACGTCGATCCATCTTTTACCTCTGAAATTAAAAATTGAAGAAAGAAGTGGATACCTCTTTTGTATCCTCTTAGCAGCTTTCAATTTTTCTCTAGGATTATTTGACTTTAGGTTTTTGTTAACCTACTGCACCACAAAAGTGAAAAAAAGAAGAGGCATAATATAAAAAGATAAAAAATAATAAATTAATATGGACGTCACACTTCATATAATGTGAACTGTGAAGTAAGTATTCTCAATTTTTTGGTAAATTATTTTTTCTTTTATTTTGATTTTGATTTTTTTTTGTTTTTTAAATATAAAATTAAGCAAGGAAATAACGTATCATATCAAAAGTAGAAAAATATGTAGAAATTGTTGAACTGACGATAAAGAAGAACAATACAAGGAAAAATCATCATATCTAGGGTACCATATGTGAACAAGAATTTTTTGGGAACTACCATCATTCGATATTTAGAAGCAAAAGAATACTAACACAAATGATGTTGTAACAATATTATTACCTTAAAAAGAAAAAGTAACTTGATCATACATAGGCAAATACTCCTAAGTCCTAACTAATTAAATTTGGAAAGATCAAACTTTCTGTATAAACGAATCCTTTCAGAATGACATTAGATTGAGGCCATACTCCAACCGGTCCTTTGGATGTCTTAAATACATAAGTACAGCGATGTAAATGTCCGTAACACAGTAGCACTTCTGGAATGTTTTGCAACTCTTTTCCACTAAAATTAAAAATTGAAGATTTAATACAAAATATTAGAAAGAACCCTAGCAAAAATTATTTCCGTATATTTTGGTATGGCTGATTGAAGATCGGTACCTTGTATACTAAACAATTCAGTCCAAGATTCGTTGACAGTCTTTCATTACCCAAAATTTAAAAATGATCTCCGTATTAGACACATAATGAGAATAAGCACAGAGCATTCCTCCCAATACTGAAACACCCGGTTCCCGAAACTTTTTCAAGTATATTTGCTCTGGCAAGGGTATCTCTCTATACACCTCGTCTGAAATACCAAATGACACCACATAATATTTCCTTAAGGAATTAATAAGCCAATGAAATGCTCCGTGGACAAATACCAAAGAGTCGGTAGACGTAAGCATAGGGTGAACGTCACAAATAGGGTGGGGGGGGGGGGGGGGGATATTACGTTAAAAGGCCATGAATTTTGTTTTAAAACTTTTTTCAACTTGAAGTTGAATTTTCAGAAATTTGAAGTCCCCGATAGCAAGCTACCCTGATGGACCTCCACCCTCAAAATATAGAGCTAATATCGTGTGTGTGAGTCATTGAATCAAGAACAGATACTAGACTTGATGGTTGCGTTTCTGCTTTAAACTCTGTTCCTCTCTGTTTTTGGTTAACCCTTATACTATCCATTTTTTTAACTAAGCGTTCGCTTGGTCTTAACTGACTTCTTTCTTTCTTCGTTTACTATTTGTATTGTGTTGTTCGAGTGCATAAGATGAGTCTCATTCGATATTTAGAAGCAAAAGAATACTAACACAAATGAGGTTGTAACAATATTATTACCTTAAAAAGAAAAAGTAACTTGATCGTACATAGGCAAATACTCCTAAGTCCTAACTAATTAAATTTGGAAAGATCAAACTTTCTGTATAAACGAATCCTTTCAGAATGACATTAGATGGAGGCCATACTCCAAACGGTCCTTTAGATGTCCTAAATTCATAATAACAATGACGCAAATGTCTGCAACACAGTAGCACTTCTCCATCTGAAAACATATATTTCGGTATGGCTGATTTAAGATCGGTACCTTGTATAGTGTACAATTCAGTCCAAGACTCACTGACATAGTCTTTCATTACCCAAAACATAAAAACGTCCTCTATACGAGACACGTAATGAGAATAAGCACAAAGCATTCCTCCCAATACTGAAACACCGGTTCCCGAAACTTTTTCAAGTATATTTGCTCTAGCAAGGGTATCTCTCTATACACCTCGTCTGAAATACCAAATGGCATCACATAATATTTCCTTAAGGAATTAATAAGCCAATGAAATGCTCCGTGGACAAATACCAAAGAGTCGGTAGACGTAAGCATAGGGTGAACGTCACGAATAGGATGTTTATCCATTAATCTCCAGGAACCACTTTTCAACGCGAGACTTTCACTGCGTGATTGTGGGGGGGGGGGGGGGGGATATTACGTTAAAAGGCCATGAATTTTGTTTTAAAACTTTTTTCAACTTGAAGTTGAATTTTCAGAAATTTGAAGTCCCCGATAGCAAGCTACCCTGATGGACCTCCACCCTCAAAATATAGAGCTAATATCGTGTGTGTGAGTCGTTGAATCAAGAACAGATACTAGACTTGATGGTTGCGTTTCTGCTTTAAACTCTGTTCCTCTCTGTTTTTGGTTAACCCTTATACTATCCATTTTTTTAACTAAGCGTTCGCTTGGTCTTAACTGACTTCTTTCTTTCTTCGTTTACTATTTGTATTGTGTTGTTCGAGTGCATAAGATGAGTCTCATTCGATATTTACAAGCAAAAGAATACTAACACAAATGATGTTGTAACAATATTATTACCTTAAAAAGAAAAAGTAACTTGATCAGTCGGAAATCAACGTCATCCATAACTTTGAAACACATTTGAATCGTAGAAGTGACCGCACAGGTAGCCTGTTGAGGACTTCGGTATCCACATCAACATCCATCATTTTTGTTTTCTTTAATTTGAATGTTTCACAACTATTTTCCCCTGAAATTTAAAATTGAAGATTTAACCTAAACAACTCGTCAACTTAAACTCCTTTCAGAATGACATTAGATTGAGGCCATACTCCAAACGGTCCTTTAGATGGCCTAAATTCATAATAACAACGACGCAAATGTCTGCAACACAGTAGCACTTCTCCATCTGAAAACATATATTTTGGTATGGCTGATTTAAGATCGGTACCTTGTATAGTATACAATTCAGTCCAAGACTCACTGACATAGTCTTTCATTACCCAAAACATAAAAACATCCTCTATACGAGATACGTAATGAGAATAAGCACAAAGCATTCCTCCCAATACTGAAACACCCGGTTCCCGAAACTTTTTCAAGTATATTTGCTCTGGCAAGGGTATCTCTCTATACACCTCGTCTGAAATACCAAATGACACCACATAATATTTCCTTAAGGAATTAATAAGCCAATGAAATGCTCCGTGGACAAATACCAAAGAGTCGGTAGACGTAAGCATAGGGTGAACGTCACAAATAGGATGTTTATCCATTAATCTCCAGGAACCACTTTTCAACGCGAGACTTTCACTACGTGATTTTTCATCAATCTTAAGGATCATATAGTCATCACTAGCTGAGTCATATCCCAATCCCCACGTACAATAGTCATTTGGAAGAATTTTCGGAGGGGGGAGGACTATTGATTCTCTTGTGGAAGGGTTCCATAGCAAAGGTAGGAAGTCTAGTTTATAGTTATAAAACCCTATAAGAGCCAAGCCATGGTAACAACAATATAATGTGTGATGCCATGATTTAATGTTAGAAGGACAATCAAATTTGTGTGGATGCTCAACCTGTTGAACTGACGATAAAGAAGAACAATACAAGGAAAATTCCTCAATATAAGGGTACTGTTGGTTAACAAGGATTTTTTGGGAATTTTCGTCATTCTTGGCATGATTGAGATGCTTCATCTTAAAGTTAGGGTCGGAAATCAACGTCATCCATAACTTTGAAACACATTTGAATCGTAGAAGTGACCGCACAGGTAGCCTGTTGAGGACTTCGATATCCACATCAACATCCATCTTTTTTGTTTTCTTTAATTTGAATGTTTCACAACTATTTTCCCCTGAAATTTAAAATTGAAGATTTAGCCTAAACAACTCATCAACTTAAATTAAAAATAGCCTCCAGTTGTATAATATATACATATATATAAAATCCGTCAAAAGGTATTCGGCAAAATAATCGAGATAGTAAAAGGTGAATATTTAGAGAGATACCTCTGAAAGAAGTTGTTTTTTGTGTCGTCTTTGCAGCTTCCACTTTTCTCTAGGTAGGGTTTTGCTAAAGTGAAAAAAATGTAATTTTATTTCACTCTTAAAATAAGGATATTAATTAATCTAACGTTCATTAGTAGGATCCAAGTAATATTTAAAGACTCCAAGTTAAAATCTACCTCGTCATATTTTGAATTTTTTTGAATTTTCAAAATCCTAAATATTAGAATAATAATTAAATAACAATTATCCGAAGAAAAATCTAAAATTAAATTGGTGCGGGTGTGCCAAGCAAGCCAAAATTTTTACCTTGATATGCGTTTTCTTATGGTTAGTTTTGTTCTATTTTATTTCTCATATGCCTATGATCTTGTTTGGTATTTGCTCATAAGGGTAAAGATTAATATTTTGTAGTACAAAGATTGTTTCCAAAGGACCCTCCGATCTAAGCAAACTCTTCGGGTGTGTTTGGTACATAGGAAAACCTCTTTGTGATGGTCAAGGAAGAGCCAAGCCATGGTAACAACAATATAATGTGTGATGCCATGATTTAATGTGAGAAGGACAATCAAATTTGTGTGGATGCTCAACCTGTTGAACTGACGATAAAGAAGAACAATACAAGGAAAATTCCTCAATATAAGGGTACTGTTGGTTAACAAGGATTTTTTGGGAATTTTCGTCATTCTTGGCATGATTGAGATGCTTCATCTTAAAGTTAGGGTCGGAAATCAACGTCATCCATAACTTTGAAACACATTTGAATCGTAGAAGTGACCGCACAGGTAGCCTGTTGAGGACTTCGATATCCACATCAACATCCATCTTTTTTGTTTTCTTTAATTTGAATGTTTCACAACTATTTTCCCCTGAAATTTAAAATTGAAGATTTAGCCTAAACAACTCATCAACTTAAATTAAAAATAGCCTCCAGTTGTATAATATATACATATATATAAAATCCGTCAAAAGGTATTCGGCAAAATAATCGAGATAGTAAAAGGTGAATATTTAGAGAGATACCTTTGAAAGAAGTTGTTTTTTGTGTCGTCTTTGCAGCTTCCACTTTTCTCTAGGTAGGGTTTTGCTAAAGTGAAAAAAATGTAATTTTATTTCACTCTTAAAATAAGGATGTTAATTAATCTAACGTTCATTAGTAGGATCCAAGTAATAATTAAAGACTCCAAGTTAAAATCTACCTCGTCATATTTTGAATTTTTTCAAAATTTCAAAATCCTAAATATTAGAATAATAATTAAATAACAATTATCCGAAGAAAAATCTAAAATTAAATTGGTGCGGGTGTGCCAAGCAAGCCAAAATTTTTACCTTGATATGCGTTTTCTTATGGTTAGTTTTGTTCTATTTTATTTCTCATATGCCTATGATCTTGTTTGGTATTTGCTCACAAGGGTAAAGATTAATATTTTGTAGTACAAAGATTGTTTCCAAAGGACCCTCCGATCTAAGCAAACTCTTCGGATGTGTTTAGTACATAGGAAAACGTCTTTGTGATGGTCAAGGGTAGGGGGTTGAGGTGTTGAGTGGGGAAGATATAATGAACGTGCCTGGGTACAAAGACGTTCAAAGGTGTTTGGTACAAAGGTGTAATACAAAGATTGTTTCCTCGGATGTGTTTGGTACAAAGGAAAACATGTTTGTGATAGTCAAGGGTAGGGGGTTGAGTGGGGAAGATATAATAAACGTGCCTTGTACGAAACTCTAACACCAAATAAATATAGAATTTCAAAAAAGAAGCTTAGAACTAGAATTGGTAGGGTGCGCCAGGCCAATGTTATAGTGCAACGCCAAGGCAATTCTTGAAGGCCCCAATAGCAAGCTACTGTGGTGTACCTTACCCCTAAAAAAATAGAGTTAATATCATGTGAGTCAATGGCTCACATATTATATATTAAACTGTTGGTCAGCATTTTAATATCAATATTTTTGTATCATAATTTGCTTGAAATGTTTGGAGTCAAAGTATTGCATTTGCTGTAAGTTGTCCGTTGGTGGATAATTCTCTTGTCTTAACCGTTGGGCAGTTATTTGGAGCATTACTCCATTCGGAGTAAGTGCTGATGTTATGACCATTTCTTGCAGCATCGGTAGTGGCATTTAGGCCATTACTTCTCCATATCAAAAAAATGTAATTTTATTTCACTCTTAAAATAAGGATGTTAATTAATCTAACGTTCATTAGTAGGATCCAAGTAATAATTAAAGACTCCAAGTTAAAATCTACCTCGTCATATTTTGAATTTTTTCAAAACTATTCATTGCTAGGAAGACTTCTTCTAGTATAAGTAGTGGTGGTTATTATCCGAAGAAAAATCTAAAATTAAATTGGTGCGGGTGTGCCAAGCAAGGCAAATATTTTACTTTGATATGTGTTTTCTTATGGTTAGTTTTGTTCTATTTATCTCTCATATGCCTATGATCTTGTTTGGTATTTGCTCACTTGTTGAGTTATACTTTGTGAAGACTGTTGTATCCTGGAGGGGACAAGTCAAGAGGACTACTGCTGGACCGATGACAACATTTGTTGCACTGGGTTTCCAAAGGACCCTCCGATCTAAGCAAACTCTTCGGATGTGTTTAGTACATAGGAAAACGTCTTTGTGATGGTCAAGGGGCCTGAAGAGATTTATTTCTTCATTTTTATTTTCAATTGTAATCTTGTAATTTTTCACTTCCAATTTTTAAGGAGAATTCAGAAAGACTACAATTAAAAAAAACCGCGGATGTCAAGATGGGAGCCTTTTACAAGCCATTTCGGTTCAATGGTAACCATTTCAAAAGATGGAAGGGTAAAGTACTTTTCTACTTAAGTCTTCTCAATGTTTCTTATGTGTTAACTGAGAAGAATCCTAATAAAGTTGATGACACCTCCATGGATAATTATGAACTTATTTCTCATCTTGAGAAAGTGGAAAAGTACGATGGTGAAGAGGCAAAGGGCCAAGATTCACTCAAGGCCCCAATAGCAAGCTACTGTGGTGTACCTTACCCCAAATAAAATAGTGTTAATATCATGTGAGTCAATGGCTCACATATCATATATTAAACTCACAAAAATACTTCTTTGAAGCCTAAGAAGAAAAAAAATCAAGAAAAATAAAAGTAGACCTCCCAAGAAAAATAATGGTGAAAATAACCTAGCACTAAGTTGTCCGTTGGTGGATAATTCTCTTGTCTTAACCGTTGGGCAGTTGTTTGGAGCATTACTCCTTTCGGAGTAAGTGCTGATGTTATGACCATTTCTTGCAGCATCGGTAGTGGCATCTTGGCCATTACTTCTCCATATTATTTCTCCATTATCTCATTCTTTATTCCTCCATTATTCTTTGTAACCTATGTAACTCCTAAGGCCATTTATCTTCA